AAAATGTAATATATTTTTAGAAATCTCTTCGACAAAAAATTGTTTACTTAAAATATTTCATATCAGCGTGAAATATATTAAGTTCTTGAGATAAGGAAATTTCTTTCAGAGGTTGCACAGACTACAGAGTTCCCCCATCTAAATTACAATATGCTTATACACTTTTTTTAATGATCTTATTCTTAGAGTCCAAATTTGTGTCTTGCGGGTTCACCATTTTTATTATTATTATTTATTATTATTATTTTATTATTATTTTTATTTGTATTAATTGATCTGATGGGAGGGACCATATTCAGTTATTTGGATATTTTAAAAGAGTAACCTAAATACCTTATTAGTTTTACTTTTTACATATAACTGGGGTTGGAGAAAAAGCTGATTTATCAGTGCAAAACCTGATTTATCAGTGCAAAAGCTGATTTATCAGTGCAAAAGTGTGGCATTTTTTTGTCATTGTGAAGGATGTTTAATAATTTATATACTCTGTAATATCAAATAGGGAACTGTAAATATCTTAAATTTATTCAAAATTTCCGAAATTTTCTGTCTCTAAAGTATCATTCTTTTAAACTTTTGATATTTTCCCTCAAATTTCTATACTGCTGCACCTGTACGGTATAGAAAAAGGAGTTGAAACCCCGTCAGGACAAATGGAGGAAAATGTACGCTATCACGTGACGTGTGTATTTAGCTTAATCAACTGCACTGATCATTGTTATTATTAGGTGCAGTACGTGGAAAAGGGATATGAAAAGAAACTTACTTTTAGATGTGTTCATCATTGACAGCTTTGATCGACTGAGATATTTATGCTGCGTAGAGACATATGTGTCAAGTTTGTTTACAAACAACAACTAGTTTTAAGAAGTATGATTTGCGTAGAGACTATAAAACTGTAGTTGATTAAGCAAAATACATACGTCACAATCTAGCGTACATTTTCCTCCATTTGTCCTGACGGGGTTGACCCGTTGAAACCAATAGAACTATAGTTTTCAAGGGAAAAGTTTGCCTGAGTAGAAAAAACGTTAATATTTTGCTAACTCTAATATCAAAAGTTTTCATATCTTAGTGTAAAATAGTATAAAATGTATAACACATGATGTCATCGAAATATGATAATAATGGATTTTTTTGGTCTGTTGTTACTAAATAAATGTTGATTCAAATGCTAGACTAACGTGCCAACCGAAATTGCATGTTGGCCTCTTCTCTTTCTCAGTTATTGATGAAAAGTAAGAATATTACAATACCAATTTGAATATCTAATCAGGTATTTAGTTTACCCTTACAATACACATTTAAGTGAAGGGCTCCTTTGATCTCATTGTAATTCTTATCTATATACAACAAGTAGTAATGTCTCTTTGGATGTTCATTTAATTGTTTTGATGTCCGATCATTATTCATGAACAGATTTTCCTCAAATTTTTAAGGGAACTTGATATAATCATTGCAATGTTCTTAGCTTAATTCAAGCATTGATCAGGTTAATTGTTATAAGTAAAAATCTATATATAGATGGGGTTTCAAGCTAGTTCTTGATCAAATTAAATAATAATGTTTTCAAAATAAATCTTTTTTTTAAGATCTAGATATTTATTCAAGTATTGAGGTTATTATAGTTTACAATTGTGTTAATATTGTTAATTTCAACACAAAACTTTTTTGCGATGTTATAGTGTACATACAATTATAAATTGATAAGGTTGAAATCTAGAATTTTACGGATACAATTTTTTTTACAAGTTTTTTCATGTTTCGATTTCTAGTAAATTTTGATTAAATTGTTGACAAAGCAACAGTTCGGAAAAAAACTTTCTAATAGATTAAAGGATAGCATACTTTTGTGAGGTATGACTTGGGTATACTACAAACACAGTGTGTGTTGTCTCTTATTGAAAAATGCTATATTTAACAGTGTGCATGCTTTCACATAAACATACACGGGAAGGAACGTTCATAACGAGGAACATTGACCGTTCCTCTTTAGAAATGAGGTTAAAAACAACCTAAGCTTATGGCAAGGGCATAATGGTTTAGAGATATAAACAATACTATGTGTTATCTCTTGTTATAAAATGCCACAAATAACTTTGTGCATGTTTTAACATAAACATGCTGGGGAGCTAGTTTCCCTTTTTAAAAGCAAGGACCATTGATGGATCCTTGTTAAAATTTAGGAAATATATAAAATAGGAAAGTGTAAACCCCGGATCGTCGTATTTTGTGAGATCATGGTTCCTCTGCTTGATGCGGTTAAGTTTATCTCTGTTAACTGGTGGCTCGTCCGTTTCTTTGCAGCGGTGAATTATGTCTCAGTTATCCGCAGGTTCAGGAGGCGTTCGAGTTCAGTTCGTACTGAATTAGTAAAAGAAAGCATAAGTTAACTTAAAGCATTGGTTTCTACATTGAACTCAATGAGATCAGATTTTAAATCATATAAACTTTATTTAATGTTGGATTATACAGAAGTGTATATAAAAAAGAGCTCAAAGAAATCAGATTTTAAATCATAAAAAATTTCTTTAGTGTTGCATTGTACAAAAGTATTTTTAAAAGGTATTTGTTGGGTAAGTTTAGCGTGGATAGATAAGAACTTTTTGTGAGGAAAATATGTAATTAATATTGCGGAATTTCTTAATTTTTTTATAAGTAGAGAAATTTGATTTGATTTAATTTGGTTAAACCTTTGCAGTCCAATGTTGTCCATGTTCACGACATTCGCCCTCTGTATAAAATAAATATAAAATTCAGTAACATAGACGGAATTATGCCAGGCTCAGCCGGAACCCATGGAAATTTTTACCGTTATATTTTCGCAGAGAAATTCTGCTTCGAGATCAGTCAGACTCCAAGATCAGTCTGACTCCGAGGTCTGTCGTTAGTCAGCTAGCGTCACTGGTTTTGGTTTATACTAAATAAAGTAAAAAATACTAATTGCTAACATTTTCCAGGACGAGAAAGTTTTAATGACGGATGGATAATCCATAAGGAAGTAAAGTCTTAACAATTTCAAACAGCGGATGGTTTGCATAAATATGGGATTAAAGTATTGTGATCAATCAATTATATCAATCATTCAATCATTCAGACAGTAGCGATTCATTGGCAAATCATTGGCGAAAAACAATTTAACGATTATAAAAAAGTATTTATACAAAGGAGAACTCGATGAAATCAGATTTTGAATTATATAAACTTTATTCATTGTTGGATTATAAAAAAGTATTTATAAAAAGGTATTTGTAGGGTAAGTTTAGCGGGGATAAATAAAAACTTCTTGTTAGGAAAATATGGACTTAATATTGCGGGAATTTTTATTTTTATATTTGTTTGAAGTAGAGATTTTCGATTCAATTTAATTGGGTTAAACCTTTGCAGTCCAAGATGAAATTCCAATCATATGATTATCTATGAAACTTTTTAGACGAGAAGGTAAAAAAGTAGCTCTAATAAAGTTTTTTCTTTATAAATCTAAACAGTGAGCATGGATTTAAAAATTTTTTTTTTACAGAGCAAAAAAGGCAAAAATGACATAAAAAGAAAAAAAACAAGAAATGTTTATTTTAGTATTCTAATATCATAAATAAATAATGAAGGCTTGAAATTCTATCTTTTCATGAACAGGTTTAGATAATGAAGTATAAAAAGATCTGCCGGGCATAAATGATTTTTTGAAAGAATATATCAGAAAAAAATTCTGACAATCATTAAACGAATGTTTAATGTTCCTTGTATTGTTCCATTTTTCTTTGTATTTGCCAAAGAAGGTAAATAAAATATAGAAAATTATGCTTTTCTACTTTGTATTAGATTCAATTTTCTGAATAAAGATAGATAACATGAGTGAATTTCTTACCGATTTCCTCAAGCTTTTTAGCCACAATTCACTCCTCAGGTTGGAGATAAATGAAGTGGTTAGGCAATAGGAATAATTTATTATTTTAAAATATAAATATATATTCCACTCTTGAGGTAAATAAAGAGTTTTAGGAAAAATTTTAGATTGGATGAAATTGGTAATGGAATGGAATAATTAAATTGGAAAATTTAAGGAAATAGATGGATTGAATAGTTAAAATGGAAAGGAGGTAGGAAAGGGAGTAGGATAAGGAGGGGTAGTAGGATAAAGGATTGGTAGGTGAAGAAGTTGAGGACGAGTACCTACGGGAAGACCAAGAGAGGCTTGCCTTCCGGGGGGGTTACTCATGAGAGGAGGGGAGGGGGGGAAACCTGTGCAGAGTGTTTTCAGTTGAGCACGTTCAGATGATTTAGCGCTTGGCTTGTTCCTGATACAACTCGGGCGGCTGCGGGCGTTTTGAGGACCCTGAAGGCTTCAGATCCTCAAACCCACAAATAAATCTTAAACCATTAAAAATGCGCAAAAAAAGCAGATGCAAATGTACAAATCTGTAAAATTTTATATGTGGTAATTGGAAAATACTGTAAATTCAATTTTTGACGTTATTCCATGCATGAGTAAAGAGGTAAACAGCTTGGAATTTATATTATTGTATTCTGAATACAATAATATAAATTATAAATTCATTTAAATTGCAGTTCAAAGGTTAACTTTATTTACCAGACTTGATAAGAAAAAGCGTTAAAACAAGAATATCCCAAGATATTTATGCAGTTGCCAGTTAACAGAGCAGCAGCCAATCACTAGTATTTAAAAAATCTTTCTTTGATTTTTTAGGATACCGCATTTGAAATCTTTATTTGGATTGAATGGAATAAAAGGACCTCTATTTTTTGAGAAATATTTGAACTTCAACTTCTAATATGTAACCGTCTGAAAATCAATGCCTAAAATTAACCTTCAGCTCCTAACTTGTTTAACTCCTCATATGGGACAAAAAAAAGGGCAAGTTTTGTCTCAAAAAAATAGGGTTCTTGATACTTGCTGTTTTCGTTGGTTCTTATCTAGAGTTTCAACATGCAATTTAGGAATCCCCTGTCCAGCCCTAGTTTAGACCCCTATTTGTCATGTTTCCTTGTTTTCATAAACAATTAGAATGGATTCTGAGGAGAACCTGAAAGTTCTGGTTAAAGCTCTATCACGCCTTCAGGATGTTCATAATCTGGATGATCCAATAAATTTTAAGTTTCCCAGGTTTGATTTAAAATTAAAATTTGTTATACTCTACCTATTTAAATTTGAAAACCATCTTTAAAAATGTTAAACATTGAATTCTTAGAGCCCAAATGTCCACCAAAAACTATAAATTATAAAAAGATTTTGGCTTTTTATCTTAGAATTTGCAAAATTTTAAAAACTGTTCTATTTAATTTTTTAAAAGGCTAAAGCTTGGCATGCAGCTTTTTCAAGATTTTTTCTATGAACTTTTGGTGGGCAAATAGTTGATTTGAAAAAAAGTCCAAAATTGATTGCCCTTATTACATATGCTTCATTAATTAACAAACAAACTTCTCTAACAATCATTAAAAAAACAAAAACAATAAAAGGAAAATGGTTGAGAATAACATTCTAAAAAAATGACTGTTGAAGAGACTCCTGAAGTTAATAAGCTTAAATGTTAAAAAAACATGAGTTTGTCACACCTGTCTTCAAGAAAATTTAGGTTTGAAAAGAATGAAGTTTGATCCAGTATTGTGCATGTTTGCAGTTTGTAAAAATGCTAATTTCAAAATTGAGCTTGATCATCCGAGCTAGAAAATGGCTGAAAATGGCATTTTACTACTTGCAAATTTATCTGGGTTTCAGGCTTTGACATATTTTAGGAAATATTAAAACTAAATATCCTGAATGTTGCAAATTATCAAAAAATTGGACGAAATAAAAGTAAATACTTTGAATCCACGTTACTTCCTAAATACTTGTCTCAGTAAGTCAACTTGGGTATCAAAAGAGAGCTCTTAATCTCACCAACATTTAAGTTTTTTTTAAACATGAGATCTATAGAAAATTTAAGAAGTATTGAATGAATGATCTCAAAATATTGGCCAAATAGTGATCAGCCATGTCTAGCTCAGACAATCAAGCTCAATTTTGAAATAAATATTTGTACAATCCCCAAACATGGATATAGGATCTAACTTCGATCTTTTTTGTTAAACCTAAACTTGGTTCAGTTTAGGTGTGTGTGTTTGCGCTGAAATGTACCTTTTAATAACCTAGAAACAGAAAAATATCTCTACAATATTTACCCCTCTTTCATATTTCTACCTTAGAATAATTGCTGTTGGAAATCAAAGCTCTGGAAAAAGTTCTGTTCTTCAGAGTCTAATCGGGAAAGAAATTCTACCAAGGGGAGATGATATAGTTACAAGGTTTGTATCAATCAATATTCTTCCCAGACTCTGGTACATTTAAATACCACAGGCTGACTTTGTAGGAAGCTAGGGCAAGTTGTATAATAAACATACAGATTTTACTAGAAGGATGAATAGGGACAGTACAATAGATGATTATTGAGAGATTTTGTAAAAAAAGGATATTTCATTTTTAATGTCTTTCTATGAAATGTCCCAACATGCTTTTTATAATCTTCAAAGATGAAGATTTATTACAACTGTTAAAATCAAAATTACCAAAAATGTCTATAACAACATGGAAAATTTGGGATATTGGCTGATGTATTCTAATGATGGGCCAATGGCTCTTTTTGATTAAAAGTTCCAAGAGATTACTTTGCCTTGTGTCCCTTCTAATGAACAGAATATATTTCTCTTTATTTTAAGATGTCCTCAGTTTATACGAGTCCATCAAACAGAAGATAAAGAAGAAAATCAAGACTATGTGGTTTTTCCTAAGGTGAGTGCTTCATCATTAAACCTGGTTTCCCAAGCACATTGTTCTATAGCAAACAAAATTTGGTAACCTTGATCAGCTGATCTATTAGAGAGGGAGTAAGAGCCACCATTAAACATTGATATGCAGGGTTTGGGTGTTATCCTGCAAATCCGGTGGTTGGATGTTTAAATGGTTGATGGTGATTCTGCAACGATTCCCTCAATCTATGAATTTTAAATGTATTACAAAAATTTTTTTTTAATTGATTAAAATTATTTAAACATATTTAAAAAGTCACTGATTCCGGAGTTTATAATATCTTAACAATAAACATCATAGCCATCCAAAAGATAAACGACAAAAACAAACTAAAATCATGGTTTTACTGAAATTTAAAAACACTTTATAAAGTAATAAACATTTTGAAAATCTAGGAGGAGCAGTATGGTCACGATGAAGTTACTGAAACAGACATGAGGTTTGTAGCTTCAATCTTTCTTTCATGGTTTTACTTTGTAAAAGGCTTAGAACAGCACACTCTGTTGACTAACAAAATCACTAAAATATTGAAGTGAAAAGCAAATTTTTTAAATAGATAATATTCCCTAATAGTCCTTAAATACTAACCTTTATGCATAAATCAGAAAAAACCATGAATTGACACTGATGGACAGTGGCGTAAATAAGGGGGGTTATTGGGGTTATTTACCCCCCCCTAGAATTCTGGGGGTAAATACCCCCCCCTAGAATCCTGGGGGAAATNCTAGGGGGTGGGTAAAAAAAAACTTGGCTTGCTTCGCGCGCCAAATTAAAAATATTTACCCCCCCTACAGAATCCTTATATCCGCCCCTGCTGATGGATAATAGGTCCACAGACAGAAGACATTTAAATTGATTGATTAGCCTGGTATGAATAATTTGCATGTTAAACTGTCCACTTTGCCACAAGCAAGTTGTCTTTGTTATTGATTGAATACAAACACACCAACAGACAAGCCAAATATCTAGAGAGGTGTGTACTGTGTAGTAACAGTTTTATCTTCCTAAATTCTATTCAGCAAAGTGATGGCGGAAATAGAAAAGCGAACATTAGCAAGGGTTAATGGAACAAAGAATGTTAGTCAAGAGGTAAGAATAGGCATCAATAGTATTCTGGCTGTTTTACTATGCATCTCTTTAGGAGATACAAGTTGATTTCTACTCATCCCGGTTTCCTGATCTTCAGTTTGTAGACCTTCCTGGATTTACAAAGGTATAACTTATCAATCACATGTTTTTTGCATCTCTATAGACTGTCGAAATTATTAAAAAATTGTTATTTAAAGACTGCTGTTGAAGGTCAAAACAAAGATATAGAACAACAGGTTTTAGATCTTGTTCTCAAATACATGGAAAACGAAGAAAATATCATACTTGCCATACAGGTATTACTGAGAATTTTAAAATTTAAAATTTAAATATGAAAATCCTTCTGCACAAATTAAGTTGCTTTACCCCTTCTTCATGCATAAAAAACAAAGTGCATAAAATGTTTCATGTGCAGCTTATGCCTGAAATTTTGATTAAAATTGAAGATGCTTTGTCCTTTCATGAGACAAATTACTTTTGTACAAAACTCCTCAATTCTTAAAAATGTGTGTGAAATTGTGAAAATTGACAGCCTACATTTAATAGATTCCTGAATTTTTAGGATAGCACACAGGATATTGCTAGCTCAGAAGCTCTAAAGTTTGCTGAAAAATATGATCCCAATGGCGAAAGAACAATTGGGGTGTTAACCAAACTTGACCGTCTTGACCATGGCACTGACACTACCAGGGTCATTAATTACTTGCTCAACAAGACAAAGCCTCTCAAGCTTGGATATTTTGGAGTAGTCAATAGATCTCAGAAACAGATTGATGAAGGTTTAGAGATGAAGGTTACACTTGTAGCCGAAGAAAGAATCAGAGACGGGACAGATTATAGAGTTGTAAAAAACAGGTATTAAACATAAGTTGTATGTAAGCATCAGGATTTAAACAAAAATATTTTAATTTTCCAGGATTGGAGTTGACTTTCTTCGAAAGTTCCTAACTCATATTTTAGCCCGTACTATTAAAGATAAGCTGCCTTATATAAAGAATAAAAGCAAGGCAGCTCTTGAAAGTGTATGTGCTCAGCTTGAAGAACTGGATGACAACCATCTTCAAGATAAAAATAAGAGAGATGCAATCATATGTCTTGCAGAGGAGGTTATCACTGATCTAGAAGAACAACTTGGAGGGTTTCAAACTGGAGTAAGTTGTGAAAAACTTTGTTTAGGTAAGATTGAACTCAATAAAGTTGGATGTACTGTAGATTATCCCTGTCTTTATATCTAAAATATACAAATATGATCTTTTGATTAAAATCTAATTCAAGGTGCTGAACTAAACCAAAAGATTAAGAGAGAAACCATCACAAAGGCAGAAAGCTCTCGTCAGTTTTACTCCCACAATGATTTCCATGAGATGCTTTCTACTGCCCTTGCCAACATGTATGCAGTAAGGGATCCTCTTATGCCTGTTCAACTAGTACTGGACAAGGGAGTTGGCATGCTTACTGAAGCTTACAGGTAAAATGTGTGTCTTAATTTAGAATTTGGAGAGTACTGTAGAATATTGATTTTATTTGAAAGCTTTGACACACTGAAATTTCTCAGTGGAAAATGTTTTTACAATACGATTTGACACACAATTTGTTAAAATTATTGTCATTCATTAATATAATTTTCAGAAACAATTTTGAGTGTCTTCTTAAAGATGTTACTGAGCTGTTAAGTGATGGCGTCGAGAGGGTTACTAAATCTAAGCTGGAGCAGTATCCTTACTTTTTCAACATGGTTAAATCAATGCTACACGAGGAAATAAATAACAGCAAGGACAAAATAAAACATCACCTAGATATCATGATTGATATAAATAGACGAGTGGTTAACACTGAACATCCTTCCTTTGACGTCATTGGTAGTCTTAAGAAGAAAAGAATAAGGTGATTTTCCTGATATAATAGTTGTAAAATACTACAGCTTACAACAGAGGGCTGAATTCAAATTTAATTTTAATAATTATGACCAGGCCATGCAATCTTCAATAAAATTGCAATTGTCTAAACCTCCTGCGTCTTGTTCTTGGCAACCATTTTTTATGAGTGTTATTGTTTTTAGCCCATTTAAAATATATTTTAAATAAATGAAGACTAAAAGTGTCAAGTATAGTATTTAAATGAAAACATGCAATGCTGCCACTTTAGTGAATGTAAGTTCAACCAAGAAGCAGGCTAAATTCAGACTGTCTCAACCTAGTTGCACCAGCTAAACAATGTATGTCCAGGCAGGTGATCAAAGATTTGTACCAGAGTACCATCGATCTCTCTGACCTTTCAAATTCATTAAATTTAGTCATTGAGCCACCTTATTATTCTTAGGTATCCAAACAAAAATGAAATCTGGTTCAAGGAACAAATCAGCATCGCAGATGACTTCCAGCAGGTTGGAAGTGATCTAGGAGATGGGGAAGATGGAGAGCAGATTAGAAATATTGTTGATACAGTGGGAGATATTGTGGAAAATGTTGTACCTGGAGGTTCAATGATCAAATCAGTTCTGAAACCAACCTTTCATGGATTTACAAAAGATCTCCAAAATCAGGTGATATTTAAAATGTTTTTAGAAGCAATTTGAAAGCTATTCTGAAAGGGAAGGGACTATATGTGTCATTGCTAAGATGGCAATGCCCGATTTACAGTTATTTCCTTAAATGTTTTGTCTGATCAAGTACACATTAGAGTATACAAATTTTAATGTTTTGTCTGATCAAGTACAAAAGTAGGTATTCATGTTTGTTTTTATTTGCAGTTTCTGTGCACAATTGACTTGTTAATAAGAAACAATGAAGAAATTAGAAATAGCTGTTGTAAATACAGTTCATTTAAACAAGAAATAAAAATTAACCTATATAATATGCAGAAAAAAATATGATATAGGAAGTAGACATTAAAACACTTCATTGCACATAGTTCCGATCTCATACAGTCATAACCAGAAAGAATCTGAATCAATTGACAATTAATCAGTTATCTTTTTGTTCGTCTTTAATCTTTGAAATAGTTTACGGGCATTTATTTGTCATTTTAATTTTTGAAATATGCAAATATGATTGATGATACAATAAACACAAAATAGCAATAGTCCTGCCATTTAACAAAATGTGGTCTGCCTTTTTTGCATTCAAAATTATCTGAGATATAAAAAGTTTTCTAAAAGATTTCATTTTTATTTAGTATAAAGAAAATTTTCCAATCTTGAATGAAATTATTCATATCTCCTGTGATTTTGAACGCACCAAAAAGGCAGAGCACATTCTTGAAATGACAGGACTGGGGCTACTTTTTGATTTTCGTTTCATCAATCATATTTGTGTACTTGTAAAATTAGATTGACAAATGAATGCCGTAAACTATTTCAAAGATCAAAGACGATTGTAAACAAGTTGTCTGCTTAATTGACAATTCATTCCCGGGTCTTCCTGGTTATGACTGTAGTTGAAATCTCTCTTTTTTTGTTAGGACAAGAAAAATAAGATCAGCACAGCAAGATATCCCAGCAAGATACCAGACGAAGCAAATGTTCATGTTGATCTTTGCGTTCAGTACATGAAGATATTAGACGAGATCCTGGTGGACCAGGTTCCTAAGCTGTTTATCACAATGCTTGTTCACAGGTATATACTTACTCATCGTACCACCAGTCAAATGAGATTGTATGCATTCTCATCAGTGCATGCTATGCAGGGTAGCACTAGGGTTTCAGATAACAAAAACTTTTGAGAAAAATTCGAAATTTCACGAAAATTTTGTTCTTGGAAATTGTTTTTGCAAAATTTCATATTTTTTGCGAAAATGAATTTTGTAAAAGAAATAGAAAACTATTAAAAAATCTGTTTTACAAAATATGCAAAATTTTCACAGAACAAAAGGTGCTAAATTTCCCAAATAAAACAAACAAATTTTAGAAAATTTTGCAATATTTTTTTTTTGCGAAAAAGATTAATGTTAAATTTTGCAAAAAAAGCGAAAATATTTTTGCGAAAAAAATTCCCAATTTCGCTCTCAGCTCAGAATTATTAAGGGCAGAGCGCTACAGTGCATAGCACTACAGTGAATAGCGCTACCGTACATAGCGCTACTGTGCATAGCGATTCAGTGCATAGCGCTACAGTCATAGAGAATAGAATATATAGAGAGGAATTTACTAGAAAAAAGTGTAAAACGGCCATTTTGTTGTACTGTTTCCATACTGCAGGTGTACTTCACATATTCATTCTATATAACATGTTGGGCCCTGGAATATCATTTTATAGAAAATCTAAAATTGTTGTTAAAAGAAAACCAAATTATGAAATAGGCTAGTTTCATAATTGACCAATGATCATTTCACATAGACTCTATGCCTTCCACTTTACAGACGATGATTTTCCGCTATAACTATAAATCAAATGATGTTTTTATTCACCTAATTCATTATAAAGTTTATTTAACAGTTTTAAAAATTTCGAAATTGAAATGGATAGTCTAGGGAACATACTGTATTAATGTACTCTGCTGCATATAATTTGTGAACATTTACATGATTTGTACACTTTGAACTCCCTTTCAGGCTGAAAGGGACTGAAAAAATTCAAACCGAGAGATTCTTTTATTTCCTCTCTATATATTCTATTCTCTATGGCTACAGTGCATAGCGCTACCGTACATAGCGCTACCGTGCATAGCGCTACAGTGCATAGCGCTGGTGAGAATGCATACGCTCTCATCTGACTGGTGTTACAATGAGTAAGTATATTTTAAATAGTGTGTTATCTTCATATTATAATAAACATATTTACTTTTGCAATAAATATCTTATAATCAATAGGACTCTGGACTACCTTCATGGATCTTCTTCCTTGGATAAATCTCTGCTTAGAGAGGTATAGACTTAAGTATTCAATACGAAAATATAAAAAACACTTTAATATCTTAAATAAAAGGGCAGTCTTTCAAATGAAGGGTGTCTTATAGGATTCACAATTTAACCCTTTTAACCTCTATCTGAGTAATGAGAAAGTTACTTTTGCTTTACTAGCTTAAAAATTAAATTAAATTGCCTCTTTAGCATAAATGCAAAAGTGACATCGATTGGAAATAAGATTGGAAATAAAAAGTCTTGTAGGATTTCGTCACCAAATATTGGAATTTAACCTTTAACTAGATACATTGCAAAAGTCAGAATTGAGTTCATATCCGGGTTGAAAAACCATTTCTCATTCAGGATTGAGAAATGGAGCCTAAAGCTTCTCCAACATTCATGATTTGATTTGATTTGATCTCATTCATAATTAATAAGAAAAAGGTTTAAAGTAGGGTTTCAAACGAATCAGGATCAAACTAATGACCTAGTGTCAAACGACAAACGCGACAAAAGCGACAAAAGGTAAAACAACAAAGGGTCAAAATGAAAAAAATATTTTATGTATTATTTAAGACAATTTCTGGGCCTAGCGTAGCGGGTAGGATAGGCTAGGGGGCCGAGCGCTGCGGCTAGTAGTTCAAATGAACATAAAACATACTATAAAAATATGTATTATTTCAGGGTTAGGATAGGTAAAGACAATTTCTGGGCCAAGCGCTGCGGATACTAGTTCTAATGAACATAAAAATAGTTCAAATTAACCAAAAATAGTCTAAATGAAGTTTTACCTATCTGTCGTACTTTTTGACCCTACGTCGGTTTACCCTTTGTCGCGTTGTGACCCTGGTCGTTTGACCCTATGTTGGTGAATGCATAGTAAGTCTTTTACATATATTCTACATTAATCTTTAAAAATACTGTTTTATGAATAGTCATTTAAATGAATCGAGAATTTGTCAGAAACTCATATTTTCTAATCCCTATATCTTCGCAACCCGATTGTGTAAACCTTTGAAATTTTAACTTTTATAGAGGACGTGAGTCAGACTCTAATAAAACGCATAGATAACTTCCAGTATATATATTTCTTATAACTTATTACTAGAGGGTTCAGAACTAGAGTCAATATCGATATCGCACGTGTAGACTGTAGAGATCCTATCAGTCCTAATGCCCCGTATCCGTTCTATCTCATTCTGTTGAATCTTGTGGAACTAGTTTAACGCGGCCAGGCATCGTCTTCCACACTTTGATTATTTTCTATATCATAAACCATAGTTTGATATACCTAAGGTCTTCGACATTGGTTTGCAAAGATATAGAAATTAGAAAAATCAGAGTTTGTGGCAAAGACTCCATACCTTTGCAGATTACCCAGAAGCTGAGCTCAGAGCAGGAGGCCGAAAAGCTTTTGTTAAAGAGTAGGGAACACTCGGATAGAATTGCTAAGCTCAAGTAAGGAAACTATATTTTTACCAAAGAAAGGGGGGGGGTTCAGTGTCTATGTACAGGTTTACCCACTAAGGATGAGACTTCAGAGACGACTGTTTGGAATTTACACTGTCTAGGATCCATAGATTTGTTGTTATTAGGGTTGTTAATTGTTCTTAAAAACGATCAAAAAAACTTTTGTTTTTCGTTTTTTCTCACAACAAAATTTTAAAAATCGAAGCACAATTTTTATGACAATTAATTTTAAAAAAATTCAGGAAGATAAGGTTACGAATGTTTTCTAAAATGTTTTTTATCGTGTTTTCTGACCTAGGTTTTTCGGATCTCAGGATTTTCCGACCACAATCCATCCCTACATAGTACATACCGCTAGTTTAGTTTAATTTAATTTACCGATTCAAATTCTTTCTTTTAGGTCGTCTTTACAGTCTCATCCTTTGTGGATAACCCTTGTATTATTATTCTCTCCTTATATCTTTAACAACCCTTCCCTGATAGTAAATTACGGGGAAAAAATTCTTTTAGTGTGCAAAATTTAAATGTTTTTGTTTTGATGAATCTTGTTATTGATATGAATTTCTTCGACAGGATCTTAAAACACCTAAACAAAATTTTGTTAAATTTTGTTAGATTTTCACGCTATTTTAATAGAATCTTACCAAAATTCTAAAATCAAGAACAAAAAGAAGTAGCTTAATATTATTTATTGGAACATAACATTTTATCAAGAATAATTGCAATGAACATTAAACATAACAAAAATAACATTTTCATGTTGAAAAGACAAGACACATAAAAAATACAATTTTTTGAAGTTTTGTTAAATGTCTAAAGGTTCGATTAACCTTAATTGTTCTGATTGGGCCATTTTTTGAAGAAAAAAAATTTGGAAAACTTTTTATTTAATTTTAAAGGTGGAAAAGTCAAAAAGCATTATATCTCTAAAAATTTACAAAAGTTACAATGTTTATTTATAGGGGATTGAAGACATATTATGAGGAAACAATCCGCGTAGTGGACGATACTTACAACAATCTTCTGGAATTCTAAACATCTTCCAGTACATACTTTAAGTTTAATCAAAATAATCATAAATTATTCGTACTAGAAAATAAAACAAATAAATCACAACTTGAAGGATGTAAATTCCTTTTTTTTATGTAAATAAAATATTTTTCAAGCCTATAATTGTTCTTTTATGCTTTACTGATTTATTTCTTTTCTGTCTTGCTTCTAAATGATTACATTGTATTTGGCAAATTATTGTATTTTTGCATTATAGGGTTTTGTAAAATAAATTCAGGAAAACACACAAAACTTATTAAATTTTAAACTTAGTGAATAAAAGAGAAATCCATAAGAATATTCATACTGGGTATTTACATTTATATTTTTTTACGATAAAATTACATTGTTGGATGAACTTTTAAAATTTTTAATTAAATTCCCAGCACCATCACTGATAAAATTGCACTGTTTGGAAGAACTTTTTAAATTTTCTTTTTAATTCCCAGCAGCACCACTGATAAAATTGCATTGTTTGGATGAATTTTTTAATTTTTCTTTTAAAGAACTTTTTAAATTTTCTTTTAAATTCCCAGCAGCACCACTGATAAAATTGCATTGTTTGGATGAACTTTTAAAATTTTTTTATTAAATTCCCAGCAGCACCACTGATAAAATTACATTGTTGGATGAACTTTTAAATTTTTTTATTAAATTCCCAGCACCACCACTGATAAAATTGCACTGTTTGGAAGAACTTTTTAAATTTTCTTTTTAATTCCCAGCACCATCACTGATAAAATTGCATTGTTTGGATGAACTTTTAAAATTTTTTTTTTTTAATTCCCAGCAGCACCACTGATAAAATTGCACTGTTTGGATGAACTTTTTAAATTTACATACAGGGTGTATTCAGTGAACACAGTATATATTATATATACAGGGTGTATTCAGTGAATACATTATTATACATTTTTCAGTGAACACATTATTAAACATTTTTTAAAAGCATCGTTTTGATATTGAGGCTCTGGCATAAACTAACGTTTTTAGACACCTTTTACATTGTACATTGTACAGTGTACAGTGTACAGTGTGCACAACCTAATATGTTCATTGTACATTGTACAGTGTACAGTGTGCACAACCTAATATGTTCATTGTACAGTGTACAGTGTACAGTGTGCACAACCTAAAATGTTCAGCACCTTCTAGGACAGCTTCCATTCTGTAATCTATTACAGCAGCGTGGTGAATTCAGAGGCTAAAATAAACATTATATAATAACTAGGGTTTTAAGGAGCCATCATTTTCTTGTGAAAATAATAATAATAATAATAATAATAATCTTTGTTAATTAGATCGACCCCCACCACTACTCTATACACATACATCTAAACAGTTTGTTTTTAATCTTTGTGACAGAAACAATCTCAAGGAATAATAATTGTCTTAAAACATTTTTTTTAAGTGAATATTTGCAAATTTTCTTTTTTCCATTTGACAACCCACATTTTTTTTAAATAATCTTTTTTGTTTGTTAATTTTCTTGTGGTTTAAAAAAAATATTTTTTTGTTTATCGATTTTGATGGTTATTATTTCGTTAGAACTGACGAGGGTCAACCCAGACCGAAATATATTTTCATTGAATGTGAAACTAACATCTACTTTTTTTACTCTACACCATCATTTTTTAATATTTTATAATAAAATCAACTTTTGCAATAGCATGATCATGTGTTCATTGATGGTTTTAAAAATCTTAATATAAAAATTAGAATAGTAATTCAATCAGTTCAGTCGTTTTATTTGTTTGGGATTAAGTAAGAAAGACCAACAGACAAACAAAAAATGTTAATATTTACCCTGCACTGAGATCTTAGACATCTTTCATTTCTCATCATTCCCATCATCGCCATACCACCTTAAATATATATATATATATATACGCCATACCACCTGAATAATATATATGTATACGCCATACCACCTTAATAATATATATATATACGCCATACCACCTTAATAATATATATGTATACAGGCGCCATGACAAACTCCTGAAAAAACAAACTCCTGAAAGACAAACTCCTGAAAGACAAACTTCTGAAAGACAAACTCCTGAAAAGACAAACTCCTGAAAGACAAATCAATATCAATAATCTTTGACAAGACGGGGAGGCATGATATAGGCCTATAGTTGGTTAATTCCTCGGGATTTCCAGATTTAAAAACCGGACTAGTTCTTGATACTTTAAAACTCTCAGGGACCTGACCAAGATTGAAAGATAAGTTGAATATGAATGAGAGAGGTACAGCAATTTCAGTTATTACGCTTTTTAAAAGTTTCGAATTCAAACCATCAATATCAAGACTTGATTTACTTTTTAATGACTTGACAATTTCAATAATTTCAGAGGGGTCAACCTGTCCAAGCTCAAAATTAAATCCAGAATCAGTAAGATAATTTCTTCAGGTTTAGCGGTTGATTCAGGAATATCCTTTAAGATATTCTCAGCAATTTCCGAGAAAAAAGAGTTAAATTCATTAGCCATGTTTTTAGCATCATCGATTGATTTACCATTTACAGAGACCTTATCAATACTGGATTTACCATTTACAGAGACCTTATCAATACTGGATTTACCATTTACAGAGACCTTATCAATACTGGATTTACCATTTACAGAGACCTCAGCAATACTGGATTTAGACGAAGATCTATTTAAAATCTCATTTAAAGTTGCCCATAGCTTTTTGGGATCATTTTTGTTAGACTCAAGCTTATTTTCAAAATACATTTTCTTCGCAGATTTCAACACTTTATTGTACAGGTTTCTATAATTTTTGTATTTAGACTCATCTTCATAATTTCTAGAAATTAGAAATTTATGATAAAGCTCAAGCTTCATTTTCCTGGATACAAGTAAACCACTGCTCATGAAATCATTTAATTTGTGGTAATTTTTATTCAGCGCAACATATTTGACAGTGAAATGAAGATTAAAGAGCGTAGACCAATCATCCCAGAAGTTTAAAAAAGCAGTGTCAGTATCAGAGCATGAGTAAACATTCTCCCAGGATAGATTAGATAAATTACTCTTAAAAGATTCAATCGCAGCATCGGAAAAATTTCTAAAAGCCTTTTTTAAAGGTGCATTTTTTTTAATTTCTTGAAATTTAANTTGAAGTCAAGACAAGTAAATGTGAGAAGATGATCTGATAAATCATTAACGATAACACCTGACTTATAGTTAGAACATTTTTTGTTGGTAATAATATGATCAATAAGAGTATATGAATTTGATGCGAGTCTAGTTGCTTTAGTAATTAGGTTGATAAATCCATAGGATAAGAGCAGCTCGATATATTCAAGGCTTAAATTAGAGTTGGCAATTGAGAGAAGGTCTATGTTAGAATCCGTCATAATATAACAATCTTTCTCTGATAAAGAACTTAAAAGGCCTGAGAAAGATTCAAGGAAGGATTTACATAGCTCAGTATTAGATAACAAAGGATGGTTCCCAGGTGGTCTATACAGAGATACAAATATTAATTTGCCAGTAGGAAAATCAACCTTAATTCTCAGGGATTCAATAATACGCTCATGAAATGGAGAGAAATCAAGTAATACTTTAAACTTCAGGTTATCACTAATGTAAAACCCAACACCACCCCCCTTGCAGGAGGTTCTAGATTTAAATACAAGAGGATGGTAACCAGGAATATTTACCAGAGAAACATCATTGATGTAGGAAATTTCCTGCAGAGAGATTATATCAAAAATTATCCCCTTTTCAGAAAGAATAGAAAGCAAGCTTGTAAACTTTTCGAATTTACTCAATAAGTATTGGATATTTAAATTCAAAACAAGTGGATATTTAAATTCAAAACAAGTGGATATTTAAAGTTTTTAAAACAGTCACTAAAGGAAGATTCATTGTAATAATTGCTTGACAATTTATTCGACAGTAAAGGATTTTCAATAAAATTAAAATTATCAACACTATTTTCTAAAAAGAGAGAACAATTATATGTGAAATCAAGCTTTTTATCCTCGTTTAACAGCCCGCTAGATGCAATCAGTTCAGGAACCATGGCTTGCATATAATCTGTGAAGCCGAACCAGACCTCTCTCATGAACCCCAAATCCCTTAACAGCAAGAAACCCAAACAAATCTGAAATCATAAAAAGTTAGTTTAGAAAGGTGACTGCACAGGATACAACCAAAAATAAAAACAAGTACATAAATTCTCTTTAAAGGAATATAAAAGAGAAAAATATTTCAGAGATAGATAGAAACAGTAAAACACATACCGGAACAGGAGCTATAAATAGCTCATTAAGGAAACCTGACTCCTGACTGAACAGGAAACACATAGCTCAGAACCATGAGCTGGAACAAATGAACTAACACCCAAGACATCGCAGCACTGGAATACCGGAGCACTGGAGCACTGGAACACTGGAGCACTGTAACACCGGAGCACTGGGACACTGGAACAAGGATAACTCAAAGGAAACAAAGCTGGATGAGATCAAACTAGGGCTGGATGAGGTAAACAAAGGCTGGATGAATCGGGACAGGGGCTGGATGAATCGGAACAGAGGCTGGATGAATTGGAACAGTACAGGTTAAGCTTGCTTGCTTGCTTTCTTGACGAGGTAGAAGATATTTCCACCTAGACTCCATCTTGAATATTATCCTTTCTCAGACCTTGAAGCTTCTTGTAATTTAGAGAGGTGAGATCTTCCACTATGGAGATATGTTCAAGCTTGTTCTGAGGATCAGAGAGAACAGTTTTCTTATGAGTAAAAACTAGATCACGAACCATTCTAACCTGAAATCGACAGATAACAGGAGTGGAATCTTTGGATTTATAAGTCTTGAGAATATGGCATTGCTCAATAAGTCGATGCAGGGGGGGGGATGGAGGGCAAGGTACCACTCTCGACGGCTTTCATCAGGATGGGAGTGAGTACAGATTCATATACAACCTTAGCAGTATAGTTGGAATGGCAGGAAGTTTCCTGGTCAAGCTTGAGACCAAAATTCCTTAGACTAAAGTTTCTGGAATGCTGTTCAAGGTGGTTTAACTTCATTTCGATGGACGATAATTTATCTTCATGAATCGCAAGTTTCGAGGTATTAGATTCAACCGACTGCTTCAGAGCGTCAAACTTTTCACGAAGATCTTCAGTATCAGATTTAATACCACTGCAAAGTTTCAGGATTTCATCTTCTTTTTTGGTCATTTTAAAGTTGCAAGTAGTAGAAAATAAATAAACCAAACAGCTGACTGATATGTATAATTAGCCGGGTTGAAGAGAATCCTATCAGCTGATAAGTATAGAAGTTTGTTCGACAGGTTGGAGTCTGTGTCAGAGAATTCTACGCGTGTGTAAGCTCTGGCAAATTTCTATTGGCTAAGAGAAATTAGAAAGGAGCTATGATTGGTTGAAACCCGGCAGAAGGAACACGGTCTTAGCACATAATCATTTATTTACTCGCCGGTGGTTCTAGACTGACTTTAATACAGTAAACTACATTTCTGGTCTTACAGTTGAAAGTTCCATTAATCTCAATCTTCTTGCTGGTATTAGAGGATTGTATAACTGTTCCAGGCTCTATGTAGGGACAAGTTGGGCAATTTAAACCACAAGGTTTCATACCAGGTATTAGCCACTTTGGCCTTATTCTAGGAGGATCTAGAATTCTGGCTCGGATGAGTTTATCCCTGAGATGAGGAGGTCTCCTATAGGTAACCATAGGTGGATTTTGAAAAACCTCCTTCATCCAAGGATCCTGGACCATGGTTCTCCACTGTTTCTGTATGATGGAGGAGATACAAGGCAGCTGGGGATTAAATGAGATAGAGAATATAACTCGATCTGGTTTCTCCTTTTTCTCCACTTTCTTTAAAGCAACTTCTCTAGGTATAGCTTTAGCTTGGACTATAGCAGAATCAACAATTGAAGAATTGTAATCCCTGCTGAGAAGAAAATCTCTTAGTTTTAAGAATTGTGCATCCCTAAGTTCAGGTTTGCTGCAAATTCGTACAAGTCTGTATGAATAAGGTATGTTGTTAGAAATATGTGCTGGGTGGCAAGATGATGGAAGTAGGTACATACATCTATCTGTGGGTTTTCTGAAGAGATTTGTTGTGATTTTTCCATCTTCAATGTACAGTTTTGTGTCAAGGAATGGAATACTTTTTGTTCTGTGGCACCAACAGTCATGTTCATCCTTTAAACCACAATAAAATGGAGAACTATGTTCTAGAGTAAACTTGATTGCAGGATAAATTTTATTGACATCATCCAGGAATTGTTTAGGGGTATTTTAATGGATTTTTTTTTTTTTTTAATTTTTCGAATTGTATGGACTCACAATCTAAAACAATTTAATCGCTCTAGATGTTTGGGTGTGTTGCTCTGACGGTAGCGGACCTGCAGGATGCATACATATTATTTAGAAAGCTCATTTTAGAATTTTTACTTCTATATTTAGATAATTTAGTTTTTAATTTATTTTTATGCCAACATTGATTAAAGTGTTTTAAACATTAAATAATCCTATTCCCTTACTATTACTGCCTCAACCTAGGATGATCATTTTAGGTACTTTTGAAATAGAGTGTTAGTGACTATCCTAAAGTTTCTCTGCCAGAGTCTTTTGATCCTAAACTTACTAGTTTCTTAATTCAAAATAGAGCTAGGATGTATATGTATAGTATTCCCCCGTCTACAAGCCGATGATGAATTTTTATTCTAAGGCTGACTACGAATGTAGATTTATAATCAATTAATAATTAAACAGACTAAGGGTAATGTCTTGCAGTACATTGTGCGGGAGAAGAAGTTCTCACGGCAGAGATTCCCTCGATTCTTTTACTTCGGAAGTGGAATCGACAGAAAGAGAGAAACTTCAAATGGAAAATCATCAAATTTTAACATGAAGAAAAACACGAGGCTTAATAAATATTATAAACTGCGAGGATGATAATTTTTTAAATTGAAAATCAAATGTTTCAGAGAAATGGATAAATTATGTGTTTTCTTCCAAAAAGGGTCCTGTTGGAGGGGAAGAGCATGCCCTTTTATACACAGCTACAATGAAGGAACCAAGTAAAATAAATTCATTAGAAACTAAATCATTATATGGCATTGCAACAAGGAGATGAACAAAGGATTTGAAGAAAATCATTTAGGAATGAGAACAGAGATGAAAGAGGGAGAAAAAGAGAGAAAGATTATGGAGATAAATACAGAAGAAGGAGAAGAAGTAACCTGCACAAAGTAATAACAGTTTTTTAAAAATATTTTTAAGATAATGAAAGAACGATCAGAAGGATTTATTGAACTAATTAAAGGGGAACGGGTAGCAACAAAATGAATGACGGAGCTAAAGGATCAAACAACACACACCAAGAGAAGTAGGTTTAAAGGAGATAAGGAACACAAGTATCCCAAAGGATGTTTTAACCATTTTAAAATGGTTCTAATTAATTACATTTTTAATTTCAAAATCGATAACGTTATTCTGAAAATCATTTAAAATTTAGTTTTTCATTTAATTACACTGGAATTTACACAAATTATAATAATGAATCTTTTAATTATTTTATTTCAACAATTTGTTTACTAATTTGTAATTTTCTCATTCTTAATTTTTATTATAGGAGAATACAGTTTCAACAATACAAAGATAAATCCCAATCTTCATCAAAGCACGAGAGAGATGTAGATATAAGAAGAAGGAAAGATCCTAAGATAGAAAAAAAGAAGGTTGACCATGCATTAAATCCAACAGCTCTAGAAAATCGGAAAAGGAAAAGATCATCATCACCTGACCATGAAAGAAAGCTAACACCCAAGGAAAACAGGAAAAAAGGAAGATCAGTTACACCGGAGAAGAAAGATGTGAAATTTAAAGAAACAAATCATAAAACTAAAGGGAAGAAACCAAATTACCATATATTCTGCATTTGTGGAATCCAAACCTACAAACATGGAATGTTAAAATGCACAGAATGTAGGAGATACTCACATGCTGAATGCTACAAGACAGACGATCTTTCTGTTGAGCATATTTGCGGGGGGTGTGCAGTACGAGAAAATAAACCTTCAACAACATTTTGGTAAAGTAGATCTAGACGAAGATTGGTATATAAGGAATATACTTGATTTCATTAAACAAGCTGAAATAAACCTGCCAAACGAATTATCAAAAATTATCGCATATTTGTTTCAAGAGTGCCAGGAAAAATTTTCAAGTGCAATTAATGAAGTTAACATTGATTTACTGTCAAAAAAGTCGTATTTTTTCTCAAAAAGCGCGCGGGCGCGCGCACTTTTGCTCAGATTCCTTCAAAACCAAAAAATGCACATAATATACATAATTCTGAGTTTGCATGCAAAAAATCAGCCTCCTACGACAATTCTAAGTTATGTTTAACCCCTGTTTAAATTTTCCGGAGAGTAATACGTTTTGTGCCACCCCCCCTTTGTTTCTTTTCGTTCACTCAATAAATGCAGTTATTAATTAAAAATTAGACAAGTTAAATATTAAGATGCGAGGAGTATATCAACTCAATAGACAAGTTTAATATTAAGATGTGAGGAGTATAAGGGCTCAGTAGACAAGTTTAATATTAAGATGTGAGGAGTATATCAACTTAATAGACAAGTTTAATATTAAGATGTGAGGAGTACATCGGCTCAATAGACAAGTTTAATATTAAGATAAGAGGAGTATATCAACTCAATAGACAAGTTTGATATTAAGATGTGAGGAGTATAAGGGCTCAATAGACAAGTTTAATATTAAGATGTGAAGAGTATATCGGCTCAATAGACAAGTTTAATATTAAGATGCGAGGAGTATATCACCTCAGTAGACAAGTTTAATATTAAGATGTAAGGAGTATATCGGCTCAATAGACAAGTTTAATATTAAGATGCGAGGAGTATATCACCTCAATAGACAAGTTTAATATTAAGATGTGAGGAGTATATCGGCTCAATAGACAAGTTTAATATTAAGATGTGAGGAGTATATCGGCTCCCCTGTTTTCTTTGAGCTGATAGAGCTTGGCAGAGAATTCTTATCTGAAAGGTAAAAATCTTTTTATTGTTTGATCTTGTTTATTTGTAGTTTTTTTATCATTGTAAAGTTAGAAATTTTTGCATATTTTGTAATTTTTCATCTTTGTAATTTTGGGTCTCCGTAATTTTGCATCTTTGTAATTTTGCATCTTTATATCTTTGTTTCTTTGTAATTTTGTATCTTTGTGTCTTTGTAATTTTGTAATTTTTGTATCTTGGCATCTTTGTTTCTTTGTTTCTTGGTCTTTTGGTTTCTTTGTTTCTTAAGATGTTTCTTTTTATCTTTGTAATTTTGTATCTTTGTTTTTTTTTGTTTCTTTGTTTCTTTGTTTCTTTGTATCTTTGCTCCTGTTTGTCTGATTATTATCTGTTTAGAAATGTTCCTGTTTGTCAATGTATCATCTGTTTGAACAATATTTAGAAATGTTCCTGTTTGTCAATGTATTATCTGTTTGAACAATATTTAGAAATGTTCCTGTTTGTCAATGTATTATCAGTTTGAACAATATTTAGAAATGTTCCTGTTTGTCAATGTATCATCTGTTTGAACAATATTTGGAAATGTTCCTGTTTGTCAATGTATTATCTGTTCGAACAATATTTAGAAATGTTCCTGTTTGTCAATGTATCATCTGTTTGAACAATATTTAGAAATGTTCCTGTTTGTCAATGTATCATCAGTTTGAACAATATTTAGAAATATTCCTGTTTGTCAATGTATCATCTGTTTGAACTATATTTAGAAATGTTCCTGTTTGTCAATGTATTATCTGTTTGAACAATATTTAGAAATGTTCCGGTTTGTCAATTTATTATCTGTTTGAACAATATCTAGAAATGTTCCTGTTTGTCAATGTATCATCTGTTTGAACAATATTTAGAAATGTTCCTGTTTGTGAATATATCATCAGTTTGAACAATCCTCTTTGTCAATGTATCATCTGTTTGAACAATATTTAGAAATGTTCCTGTTTGTCAATGTATCATCTGTTTGAACAATATTTAGAAATGTTCCTGTTTGTCAATGTATCATCTGTTTGAACAATATTTAGAAATGTTCCTGTTTGTCAATGTATCATCTGTTTGAACAATATTTAGAAATGTTCCTGTTTGTCAATGTATCATCAGTTTGAACAATTTAAAATTCAGTGATGGTGATGGACCAAACCTCTGTAGAGTAAAAAAGTAGATGTTAGTTCCACATTATTGAAAATATATTTCGGTCTGGGTTGACCCTCCTCAGTTCTAACGATATAATAACCATCAAAATCGATTAGGGTTTCCAGTCGTAATTACGTTAGGCGTAATTACGCGTAACACTTTCTTTCACTTACGCAGGAGCATTACGTGTGATTACTCGTTTATTACGTTTACGAAAGAAAGTCTAGTTTTGCGTAATTAATGCATAATTACGCGAAATTACGTAATACGAAACAATTCCGTAATAAATAAAGCAGTGTTTCGGATCCGTATCATTTTGATGCGGATCCGGATCCGCGGATCCGCATCCGTGATGATGGATCCGGATCCTGACTCTGATACGGATCCGGATCCGAGGTAACTTTTGATTCTGTGAATACTTTATATATTTGAAATTTGCGCCATGTGAGCATTTGCCGCTGAGTAATCCTAAAGTTAAAAATGTCGTCATTACTATTATATAAATGTAAACATTAAATTATTAAAGATAATTTTGAAAAATTTTCGTCATGTAAATAATACATTTACGAACCATTTTGATTTATTTATTCCATGGTTTTGGTTAATTTTTGGCGCTACCCGGATCCATATCAACGTTTCCTGATATGGATCCGGATTGAAATTACAGTTTATGGCAGGGAGACGGAACTAGCCGAAACTGTTTTCAGTCGGTCTCCCGTACAATCAGTCTTTAATCAAAAAATTGAACTTGAAAAATTTCACAAAAATAGATTTAGAAAGGTTGGAGTTCCTAGCAGAGAAAGGTGAGGGTTCCTTTAAGAAGTCTGGTGGCTAAAAATTAGCATTTGAAATAAAAGATATGATTCCTGGCTGAAAAGATCCACAGGCTGGTCAAGCGAGAAACAAAGCTATAATTGAGAATCAATTAAGTATTTGAACAACTGAAACAATAAAGTTTATCATATCTAAAGTCTAAATATTTATCAAGCAAGAATTTTTTAACACTTAATTTAAACCCAAGCTTGCTCTCAATTTGTTTAATATTAGGATCAAAATCATTCCATAACAAAGGAAAGCTGAAAAAAGGAAACTTTTTTTAAAAATCATTTCGGACCCTTGGTAGAAAAAAATCATCAGCATTTCTTAGAGGATAAGGGTGATACGTTAAGGCTGAATTTTTTATAAAAACACCATCGTAGTTAACAGTAGAATATTCTGATCTATAGAATGCATAATTAATAATTGCTTTTGAATTATTAGGTCAGGAAGAGGCAGAATATCTAATGAGGAAAATAAAGGTTGAGAGTGGGAATTATATGAGGCTTTAGAAATTATGCGTACACATTTCTTCTGAAGCAAGTATAGTGAGTTAATGTTTGATTTACTAGAGCAGCTATAAATAGGCAGGCAATACAGAATATGAGGATGGATGAGCACGAAGTATTATGACCTTAAGGCTTTAACAGTAAGAATATTCTTAGCTCTATTTAAGTAAAAAACAGAGTTTGATTGATGTGATAATCAAAACTTAGATTCTCATAAAAATAAATGCCGAGCATTTTAAAAGCTGGTACTTTGGTCATCTTTGAAGACGTTCAATAGGAAAATTCTGGTTAAATCAGGACTTGAGTTGATGTCATTATTATTAAATTGAAATTGAAAATCAGGAATGGAGGTTTGCTTTGGATGAAAAACCATGACTTTAGTTTTTGAAGTATTGACACAAATCTTGTTGGCTCTTAACCACATACCTAGTTTTTGAAGTTCAGTGTTAACAAAATTTCCTACCTCAACAATATTTGAACCTTTAGCTAATCCTGTAGAGTCATCGGCAAAATAAAAATTAGATAACAAGTTGGATTTGTACATATCATTAATATAAATGAGAAAAAGGAGAGTTGTTTTTCGAAAATTGTACGGATTGTACGGATTTCTTCTGAAAATGTACGGATTTTTGTACGGATGGGTTCAAAAAAGTTTTGGTCACCCTGTATATTTCCAACTGTCTTGTGTTATCATCTGGTAAATTATGTTTTTGGTTGTGATTTTTACTTTTTTGTTTCTTTTTGTTTTCATATTCAATATTTTTAATCACTCGCTACATTCGTCATTAAAAATCTTAGATATAAACTTTAAACAAACGAAAACAGTTAAGATCCGGCCAAATAATATTTTGTCCTGCATACGATAGCACAAGACAGTTGCATAAATATTTCGTAGTTTATAATAATCTAATTAATGTTACAGGGAATTGAATGTTCGTCTGTCTCCTTTAACAGCCAGTGAACAGGAGAAACAGTATGTTAGTCTTACGCTCTCAATAATAGTCGGACCAGGTGCAGTTTTTAACCTAAAATCTCTTAATTTATGTTCTGAATTTCTTTGATAATTTTAAGACATTTTTGAGTTTTAGATTTTTATATTTATCCAATATTAGTCAGATTGATTGATTGATTTTTAACGAATATCCAAGTAGTAAGATTAATTGATTGTTCTAGATTATCCCAGTACTAATAAGATTAATTGATTGTTCTAGAATATCCCAGAACTAATAAGATTAATTGATTGTTCTACAATATCCCTGTACTAATAAGATTAATTGATTGTTCTTAAATATCCCAGTACTTATACGATTAATTGATTGTTCTACAATATCCCAGTACTAATAAGATTAATTGATTGTTCTAGAATATCCCAATACTAAGAAGATTTATTCATTGTTCTAGAATATCCCAGTACTAATAAGATTAATTGATTGTTCTACATTAGCCCAGTACTAATAAAATTAATTGATTGTTCTACAATATCCCAGAACTAATAAGATTAATTGATTGTTCTAATAAATCCCGATATTAATCAAAATGAATACATTCTAAAGTGGAACAGACAAAGTATAGACGACTAGTTTATATTTTCATATTTTTATTCAATTATAAACATGAGATATTACAAATTAGCCATCACAATTTACTATGCAGTCTGGACCCGCCTAACCAGGGTAGGATGTTTTGAATGGTTGACCCCAAGCAAGTTAACGATAATGAATATAATTGGTAACACAAATTAAATTATGTTTTTGGATAGTTAGGGAGTTGATTGGGAGGTAGGTGATTGTCAGGTAATCTGTGGCAGGGTGAGATCAGAGGGATTCTGGTATTAATAAGATTCATGGTTTTAATATCCCAATATTAATTAGATTGATTGGTTCTTAACGAATCTCTAAGTTTTAATTAGATTTATTGATTAATTGTTCAGTATTCTAGAATATTCTAGTCTAGTCTTAGATCAAACACTGGTGATTAATTGATTAATTGTTTAGTATTCTAGAATATTCTAGTACTAGTCTTAGATCAAACACTGGTGATTGATTGATTGATTGATTGTTCTTGAATATCCGGATTTGGATACGGATCCATTTTTTTTCAGTGCGGATCCAGGATCCGGATCCGCATCAAAGTTAAATGGATCCTAAGCACTGCTTACCAATATATGTGTAAATTGTAAAATGTCCTTACCCTTAAATCAGTAACGATTGATTGATTGGTTGATTTAATAATTTATTGATGGTTTTGATCTAGAATATCCCAGTACAGTTCCCAAGCTTGAGATGAAGAATCCTCGTGGACTTGACGAATCCGCCGTCAATACTCTTCTCAAGCAGATGAAGCTCAGGTTAGTTTATATTCCTTGAACATTTTCTTCCCTCAGCTCATGATGTATACGCAGACGCGGACATTTTAAGGATATCAATAATTTTAAGGATATAATATAATTTTGGATATCGATAAGTATCTTTCTTCTCTTTGCTAAAACATTTGTTTTTCAAGATGTGAGGACATTTTTGTAGGCAATTGTATTGTTGGAATAGATTATTTGAGGCATGAAACTAGTTTTTGGGTATCACCATCAAGAACACGAAATTTGAGTCCAAGTTTCTTAAAGCTTCGAAAATCATTTCTATGGATGGGAGAGGGGGGGTGGGGTATATTGAAAATAGAATTATAAA